ATCTAACCATCTCCTCAGGATTACCTTACAGGACAAGACAAGTGTACTCTGAGGATATTTTAAGGAAAAACATTAGATATATAAACAAAAGTCCTAAAGTTTTTTTTTCAATCTCCTAAATATTTTAGCAATCATGGCAAGATATTCTTGTTTAAAGTAATTATGATCTATCGCAATGGATTCCCCATTTGTAACATTCGATTGTATTCCCAGATTCAAATATTATCCCCTTTTCAGTCTTGGCCCTCAGCCCCAAGGGGAGCTACAATCATTCTTTTACTCACAATTGATCCCAAGGTTTCAAGGACCTATAATATTTATAGAAAACCTATACCCGGTATATAAAGTTAAAGGACTGACCATAAAGAGGTCTGGGCTAGACCCTGGGACTACATAGCTATTCCTAGTAGCATGATTATGTTCCTCAGTTAACTTTTAATTTTGTCCTCTAGAACTGATATATATTACGTACACATGTTGTAATTATGAAAGATGTACCTGATTATTTCAACATGAAAACAAAGCTTTTTCACTTTTCTTTATGAAATCTGCCGCTTGCTTGACAATAAAAATTAATAACATCTATTGAAACGACTAAAACCTTTTAAATCTTGTGTCAAGGAATGGAAATTGTTAAAGGGATTCAGAAATGAAAGCATCAAAATGAACTGCACACAGTTTGATTGTAGTAAATTAGTATGGATGAACCAGGGCTAGTGCTTTCTAATGGCTGGACACAGAAGTGCCAATTTAATGGAATTTTTATTTTCGTCTTGATTGATAATTTAGAAATGATTTTTGTAAAAAATTTTGTCAAAATTTCATTTGTATGAAAATTCATGTCAAACCCAAGGTGACATGAATTGATTTCACGATGATTGTTGATGTTGGGGTTGGCCTGTTGTGTTTGAATAATGCAGAAGCACATTAGGCTGGGTTATGGTGTAATTGATTTGGATGCTCATTTAGAATTGACTCCATATTTGGTTGAGTGTCTAATGGTAAATGATGGACGAGCCTTCGCTTACTTAATTAGGACTAATTGACTGGTGGTGTAACAGGTTCTCTAGCCACCATGCTATCTATGCATACATCTCAGACCAAGTTGATTACCTCTCTTGGAATCAGGACTTTGGGTCAAGTTTTCAAGCACCAAGTCCGACAAAATTTCTCATGCTATAGACACATGTATGTTTGTTTTGCAAAGAAATAAGGCTTTTACCACATACTATACCGATATGTATATGGTGGTTTATTTATTTAAAGTGATTTTTGGCAGAGTTGTATCTGACTATGGTATTCAGCGTAGTACCTCTTGAGACACTGTAACCTTCTGAACTACATGGTACAGATCTCTAGAGAGAGAGACATTGGACATTCTTGCCAAACAGATTCATGCATTTTACATGGCATGGGTGTTACTGCAGTGAAACAAGCCGATGAGTTGTGATTGGATGAATTTTGGTCATTGGATGAATTGATGTACTTTGCCATGTGTAGATCCCATTGGTGTTTCTGTCAGCGTTGTCCTGGGGTTCAAGTGAGCTGCCGAGGCCATGGTCACCCGATCTCTTCGCATTGCCAGCTAAGCAGGATGTATAGGATCCTGTTTGTAGGAGCTAGAGTCCCACTTACAATGGGCTTGTTATGTCATTCTTCCACTGATCTCATCCCTTGTCACAATATCCTCACCGCAGAGGAGGAGAAATAATATAATATTTACTCAAACGGAATTAATATCTCTCTTGTTGTTAAGTGTATTAAACGTAAGTCAGGATCAAAAAGACCTTTAGCATATAGGTGCGAGAAAACGTGAATGGATCCAGTTACCGTGACACAGGTGCTGGAACGTTAGCCAATTACTGTGTGGTCTCATGATCAAGTGTTACTGAAATGAAGGAATGTCATTGGTGCAGACCTGGTAACTCCATTGACAATGTATATGTAACAGGAAGAAACCGCTTGGACTTTTATTTTGTACCGTTTTGGCCATTGGATGTCAAGGTGCTTATATTATCCTAACAGACCAAATGACAATTAGTTACAAACCAAGCCAATTTCTGAAAGCAGAGCTGAAGCTAATTTTGTCTCCTTTCTTTTGTTTTGTTTTTCTCAATGAAACCCCCGTACATATAGACTTACTGGTACATTTTATTATAATTTTGATAAAAAAATTGCTGTTTTCATTTGCTGGTATGCATATGTTCATGGATTTCTGACTCAAGTACTGGATGTAAAGCAATACCTTGTGTAGGTAGTGTGTTTACTGGGAAAGGTCCTATTGTATACAACAGACCCCGGAGGTGTTTACCCTAAAGGCCCGCTGCTAGTCTAATGGAGTTGGGCAAGTCATAAAGGGAGGATGTTGTATATAAAAATCATGTACCCCTCCGATGACCTGGAAACCTGGGCGAGACCCTGTAACAGTTCACCTGATACAGTGACTTAAAAATGATGAGCAGGATACCATTAAAATGGACGAGGTTTTAGTTTTTGGCAGTGAGATAACTCCATACAAATTTGGGGTTTCTGTCGGGGAAGATTCTGATTCACAGAGATAGGGTGTTCTGTGGTTTTCATCATACTGAGATAAACTCACCTTGATACCTACATATGATATAACTGACATATAGGTCTAGATGTAAGCTATACAGACACGTGTATATATTTCACAGGTATTTTTACACCAAACATCTATATATATATACTAGATATATGTAAACCACTCTATGAAGATGCATGTTCGAACATTCCCACAAGTGCACAGTTTCATGAATGGACCATTCTGATATAATTACAAGTACTTTGGTTTCATAAATTGAACATACCAAGAACATTCTGTGCTTTGGTTTCATGAATAGACCATTCCCACAAATACATTGGTCTCAGGAATGACAAAACAATTAAAAAGACAACCTTCTTTGCCATGGGAATGTTTGACCTGTTTATAAAGGTCATTTTACCTGCTGTTACCTGTATCTGTCAAGCTGTCCTAAGGGAACAAAACCTATCCCACAGTCGACCATTTCTCAGTGACCACAGTGTCAGTACAGGTCATGTAGCCTGTCACACACATGAATTGACCTCAAAGTAAAGGTCAACTGGCATGAACTAGTCTGACAAGGAATTTCAAGGGAACATAACTCTGTATTTGATTTGTTCAGTATGACATAAATGATTAAACACTGCATGTAGTAATGCATATGTACTTGTAACCGACAAATGAAGGCAGGGGCAGATAACCCTTTATAAGTGTATATTCGATCTTGTTTTATACATGTATATAGGGGCAAATAACCCTTTATGATTATATTATGTATGGTATATCATGCATACAGAGTTCTCAATGTGTCTGAACCAGGACATGGCACATACATTTTATGTATGGCATAGTAGTATATACATAGCACACACAAATACAGTGTTGTATATCAAAATTATCATTGTACAGGCATGGATTTTTGTCTTTCTGTCTAAAATAAAAAAAATAAGAAAAAAACAACTTCAGAGTGAAAATGAAGTACATATGTTGTCATGGTAAATGAACTTGATGTAAGTCCTGTTAAATTTGAGAATACCCATAATTAGGACCAGACCGCAGCCTGTTGTGTTTACTCATTGATGACATGCACTGCATGTATGGTATTGATATGTACCACCATGTAATCCTGGGGATCGCTTTACTTAACATGTGGTACAGCAGGTTCAGGTTATGTAATGGGCACCTGTCATATCCTCTTTACAAAGTCATCTATACACAGTACATATTAGTTCATTGAAATTTATATTGATTATATATGAGCTGGTAAACCTGACACAACACAGCAGATATAAATATTCACAGACCTCTGTATATTGTTTTTCGTATGTTATTGAACGCTGATCATGAAATGCCATCTGCTTCATACCTCTTTGAATGCCAAGTTAAATGGTTTTGTTTAGTCACCTGAAACAGGGTTTTATTCTATTGACTTTTGAAATCTGTAATTCGATTTTCAGGTACAAGTTACAATAGAGGCAATTTGAATGACGTAAGCTTTCTCAAAAAATACTGCTGATGAATAGTGCACCTGTGCTTAGTCACATACCTGGTATATTAAAAATAAAGTTCCATAAATGTAAATTATTGATTTAATAAAAATCCCGCATATCTCTGAAATCAGTAGGTAATAAATCTAACCAGTGTATATATATGCATATCCAATAACGGTCTACATATGACACGTACCGATTTTCACATGTGAGATTGTGGCATATATACATATGACAATGATGAAATCAATATATTACCATATTAGTTTGTACAGAAAATATTTCAGTACGAAGATGAGTTTTTGACTGGAAACGCTATACCTTGTACAACAGTTGATTGGAAAAGTATTGTTGACAAGCATTCTTTTATGACTACTGTTGACTATATGTTCTGGAATGGTAACCTAAACAGCATTCTTATTTTAGTAGACTTGTATGACTACTGTGGAGTATCGAATGGTAACCAACACTTGTGTGTCGACTGTTGAATATTGGAATGGTAACTTACGTCAGGAGAAGGCGTGGAGGAACTTTAATTAGGTGAACTGATCCCCAGTTATATCAGGCACATGGGACATTGATTCGTCGTAATATATCAATCTCACACTCTCCATTGTCAGGAGACAGTCTAATTAGATATAAAGTGGTTCTGAGGCTGAGGGCGGAGTGACACGTTTCCACTGTGTACTGTCATAGGTACCGGAGATGTGTACAAACTGGATCAGGTATCCGCTGTTGGCACCACTTCATGGACCAGACAATAATGCAAGGTGGCCGTTTTGTCTGACAGTAAATCAGAGTGGATCTCTCACCTTCCGATCATAGGGAAGGAAGTATTGTTACTGCATGGATTCATACTTCTAGTTTGAGAACAGAATAAATTTGTGGGTTCCGCATTTGTGGGAGGTCGGATCAGTCCTGTTTGCACAAGTATATATATGTTACAGGCTATTGTGCCAAGGATGAAAGGGGCTATATAGGTAGTGTGATCAAACTGTCAGACTTCTGGACAAGTGAGAGACTGCTGTATGGGAGGAATCAGCTGACAAGGTGATGATATCTCATATGTACTGAGTGAGAAAGTGTGGAGATGTAGAGATTCGTGTGTAGCTCCTCATCTCTAGCCGGCTCTGTACACACAGTGTGGGGAGCTGTAGGTAGAGGAGGAGGTCTTACCTCCTGTATACATACCTGACTGGTGTTTCGGGTTTATGAAGGGTGGCTCTTCAATGCAAGTGATCTAACAAGGCTAACTATCCACTTGTTCAGCTTAACCTAAGCAATGAGATAATCGTGTTTTCTCGTTTTCGTGATGAAGTCAGTAATTCCGTTGGAAATTATGTCTAAGTGTTGGTAATGATGTGCTGGTGTTTGGAGTAGTGGAGATGTAACTGAGAAACTGTGACAATCCTGCCAGGACTGAAGACAGAAGTTATGTGACAAGCGTCAACACATTGTTTTACTTAGATGAAGTAGCGAGTGGCGTGGAATTTGAGTGTTTTGCCATGTCGGTGTATAATAGACATGCCCCAGGCACTTTGAGAAAATACATATTTTTTTGAGTGATTTAACAGGTAGCTGGTTACATAGGCCTAAATCCTGAGGCTATATGTACTTACCACACAGATTTACATCATAACAGGATCTGACAATAAAATTTGTTTGGTGTCTGAATGAAATTGCTCAGGCACAATAGACCATGAGAAATATGTGTCTTTATTTATTATTGGGCTGTGACACTTCATAGTCATTTGTATTGGTGTGAACCTTTAAAAATTTAAATCATATTGAACTTAGACTTTGGAATGTTTTGGAGGAGAGGTCAGATCACCTTTTAAATTGTATATTGATTTTTCCAGTATTCCGGGTAATTAATTCTTTATGGTGTAGAGTAGAGCGTTACATGGATATTTATAATTTACCTGTACACGGTAAAACAAACAGGATTGGAGAGGATTTTCAACATTCATTGAACAGATATGCGTGTCCCTGTTTGAAGAAATGTCACAGATGATTTGTTTGCCTATGGAGATGAATGGCATGTTTGAGTGTAGGCCGTGTGGCTGATTGCAGTGTTATGCTGAAGGAGCACACATACACACGGACACATACTCTTCTCGGGTCAATAGCGGTGTGTGATAACCTACCTGTCTACCAGGTAATTCCCCCCTGGGATAGAGGGGTTTGTTCCCAGGTAAGAGTCAAGCGCTCGGACAGATTGGGTTAGAAAGTCGTCAGAATGTGGAAGGGACAGGGAGATTAACGCTTAGTGTGATTTATTGATGTGAGTGGCGTATTGGCAAGTTAGTCGTTCTAGCTATTGTGTTTTCATGGATAATTTCACCTGATTTTTGTCTGTAATTATTTTATCACACTTTTGGATTGGAAGTCTTGGCTGTGAAGTATACAGCACATTCCCTTAAGCACAAGGAAAGCTTAAAAGTGCAGTTCTCGTGTGTCTGTGACAACGTAAATGATATCTGCTGTGTTAAGCTGCTCAGGTGTTTTATCTCGTTAATTATCCGATTCTCACCTTACTGGAGCACAAATGAGATAAAGTTATTTCCTAACTACACCAGGTAATTATCCATAGGGTTAACTAGAATGTGTGCTGGGTGGAAGGTTCTATTCATGGTGTACAATCTCGACAATGTGAGAGATCCCTATCTCTTTTGTCTGTTGTATATACCTCTGTGTGGAAATTAGGACTGGAATTTAGCCTTGGAATAGCTTGTGTAATTTTGTCACAGAAGAGATTTTGTAAAGATTGGATATTTGCCACCAGTATTGTTTGCCTTTAGTATTTGTGCTATTTCTGCATACATATATACATGGGTGACATTTTTTTTTCTATTTTCTTTTTCGTTAGTCACAGTATATGAATGTTAGATTCTTGTTGGATAGAATTCGTTACCGCAAATAAATGTAATATATTGTAAACCTATACAGGAAATGGGTCCTTTCATACAGAAGTCGCACTTATCCGGTTCAAATTAGTCGACTAGACGTTTGTGACAATCTGTGGCATTAATAATTCTAAATTAAGTTTCACACACCAATATGGAAGCTGTGAAATATTGAATATTGATTCAGATATATAATTAATTTAGTGAAATTTGAAAGCCACTATACACAAAAATGGCTTATCATGCCAGGATATCACAAAAGTATTAGCATTTCATGATTGTGTTGGTGACAACTTTGACATCAAATGTGTGAAGCAGGTATTAGAATTGTATGTGTATGTTTTGTTTCTGAAGGAGGATGTTGTGAGAGATTGTGACGTCCAAGCGTCCGGAGACTAGTGTACTTTATCTGTGGGATGCCGTCATATCTTGTGTTTCCAGAAATCAAGTGGACAGTCACAAAGCTGACATTCCAAACTTATGCCTATTGCACTACACATTCACCGTGTTCATGACGGGGAAGTGTGGTCTTTTTCATTCATGACAACTTGAGTAACACTGCCTTTTATGATGGGCGTGTGATCAGGATGTTTGTTATATGTTGACAATAAGACTATTGTATGGTGGTCTTCTGCATTTGTACATGATGATCACAATCGGTGAAACATCCACATCAGGAGCATGACAGAAAATGTATTAAAACCTGTTTAGGAATAGTGAGGTCCCTCACCATGATTCTGCCGTAGTTTGGCCTGGGAAGTAATCAGTGAAATTCCTCTCTCTGGATGAAGGATAAAATGCCGGGTAAGGGCAAGAAGAAGGTGGGATTTGCGGAAGACCTTCCAGATAGTTCAGAATCTGGGGGTCGTGAAAGTCGGAGCCGATCACGCTCTCGATTCCGAGTCCGCAGGTCCAAGTCTCATGATGTTAAATCAACAACTCCAAAGGAAACTATTCCCCGAAAGCGGGAGCATAGTTTGGTGGCTCTGGTACGAACGGGGTCCAGGAACTCAGTACGACACTTGGTGAAGATGTTTGAGACCAAAACGTACACGGTAAGTAACGTAACAGCTCATCCAGAGCTTGCAATTTGAAGGCGACTACAGCAATATCAGAATAATTGTTTTCTTTCACATTCCTTTGTTTAGCAGGTTTGAACAATGCTATCTGAAGATTTAGAATGTTGTCTCTATGTACAACATAGCTGTGGCCTGTATATTTAGTGGCTATGTTACGGTCAATTATAATTAGAGGTCGTTATTATTGTGTTGATTGATAAGCTTGCAGCTCTCTTTATTTTATAATAAACTAACTTAAAATAACTGGTAATATACAAACAATTAAATCTCAAGTTTTTGGCTGTGCTGTGCCTTTTATTTCAATCGTTGGTGTCTGAGGGAACACTTGAGGCTAAGATGTACAGGTATTCCAGGTGAAATTAGCTTACTTAGAAATTGTAGGTTGTTTATCATAGATAGGTACATAGATGTTGTATAGAACAAGCTGAAGGTATACAACTTAGTTTATCTTAGCCTGTGTGTTTATGAACAGGGCTTGCCAATGTTTAATGGTTTGGGAGGGTGATTACACTAGACACCAGTGGTTTTAGTATGTAGGTGTGATAGGAATTTAAAAGGTATTCAATAGAAGATTATTGCAAATTTATTTTCTTAAAGGGCCATAAAGCCTGTTATCTATTGTAGATTTGGGTTGGAAAACGAAATAAAATGTTGACAATTTAAACTTTTATAGCTATCAATTAAAAACATATATAATATATTAAAATTACAATGTGTGTGAAGTAGTTTTAGAAGAAAATATAAATACAATGACAGCTAAATATTTGTGTGAGATGCTATAATGTAGTAACAAAGAACAATAGTTAAATGGAAAATTAAACTGAACAATATTGGACTTAAGGACAGCTTTGTGAATTTGAACTTTCAGGAATTATCAGTAGAGTTTCCATTGGAGGTAATACTTGGTCTTTTCTATCCTAGATCGGTAGATAATTGGAAAGAGGGGATTTAATTGGTGGTTGGCAGGATTGTGTATTTGTTTGACAAACACATTAATGGTATATAAACTTGTGGTGGTAAACATTCATTAGCAGGTGCTACCTATGTTTAGTGCTAATGTTGCCCCCCCACCCCCACCCCCACCCCATCTCCCCTATGGAAGTAGTAGTAGGTGTATGATTTCTCCTGCATGTTGTGGCTGTCTAGATTGTTTTGTGCATGTTCCCATCAATGAAAAATACCAAGGCCCGTATTCACGAAACCGTTCTCATGCTCGAGCATGGATTGTTTGCTCAACCTGAATTACTTGTTCCGGCTATAAACTAAGAAGAAAATCTGATTTTGTCAATGATGAGGGGAAAACATTGAAGAGACTTAAAGCAGTAAACTGTTTTCATTGTTTACATTTGACTTTTTGATCATTTGATATGATTTAAGCGAGTTACAAGAAAGTTGGTTTGAGCACAGATTCCATGCTTGAGCACGAGAACGGTTTCATGAATACGGGCCCAGGACTTTTCCTGCCTATTGGCCCTGTAAAGAATATACATACATACTCCTCCCAATACAGACACAGAGCTAGTTTCTCAATAACAAGATGTCTATGATGAAATGATAATTCTCTCCTCCCTCACTCACATGTAGTGCATGCTTGATTAGAGGCCCTTGTTCACCACATGGTCACTTAAATCCCTGTATGATATGAAACACCCCTCCATCACATGTACTACATGGTATGTAGCCCGAGGCCCTGGCTAGTCCCTCAACCTGACTGACAGCCCACAATTGGTCCAGTAAACGGTGGAAATTGATCATTATGAAGTCCTGATGTTTTATTAATAAGGCCTGCCCTGGGGAATTCAATGGACTTCTGTATAAATACATAAGTGATCTGGTTCTCAATCCAGGGCTGTGGTCAATACCATATGGAGCAGCTCTGGCCTTCCTGGGTTCTAACCCCTAGAGCTAAACCATGTAGAAAGTAATCAACAGGCCCCACAGACCTCTTGCTTCAATTGAAATGAGTTATAACCAGATGGCCCATAGGGTTGTACTGGATTCATACTCCATTTAGCAATTTTGGTGTGTTAAATAATTAGGTACAATGAAAGGAATTTTGTTCCAGTATGGATCATTTCACTGGTTAAGATTGAAATATAATCCTGGATGACCATTGTTTTGTCATAGGAATTTATCATAACCCTTACTGACATTTGTTCCTCCAGCAATATCAGTGACACAGATTAGTCTTACGATATGAACTAGTAAATTGAAAGTAGGGGCTATGTTGTATTTCAGCAAGTTACAGATAACAAATGATAATGTTCTCATAACAATAATTATAAGCACTGTGTACAGAGTGTATGGCCTGGTTCTATTCAATTGAATTACTGTCTGGATATTAGAAGGGTAAGTTTTCGTAGTCACTACTTGAATTAAGTACGCATAAAGTTACGAAGAACGAAGAACGTAACACTCGTTAGTGAAATGAAAGTAGAGCACTAATAATTATAACTGTGTTAATAATGATGGGGGCGCATTTGGGTACACCTGCACCCTAATCCAGTTATCCAATCTCTTGCACATGATAGTTTTTACCGATTACAGATGTAGGTCTATTATCATACTTCATAAACACATGTTTAGTATTATATATCTGATAAGGACAGGGTGAATGTTGGTATTAGTATGTCTTTATATACTGGATTGGGAGTTAGATCTGACACGTACATGGACAGAAAGGAGATGTTTATATGGCCTCTGTCATTCTGTCTGCCACCATTGACAATCCGTTGTATATTGGCACAGTTGTCAAATGTCCTCTCTAATTTCAGACAGAACTTTACTTTGCTCTCCAATGAAAACATTTCTGAAATCAAAACCACTGGCATTAGTTTGTTTAATTGACCATGCCCCATTCATATCCTACACTTACCACTTACAAATTTAGGAGTTTTAATTCACGGAGGTTGAGGATATTTTAGGTTGGTGTACACTAGCGAGTTACATCGGTCCACTATCTGTCTAGGATCATTAGGTATGCATGATTGATAGCTGTATTTGCCTACTGACAATTCACCCACAAAATCTACACAGAGTGCCACAAGTACTAGGGAATTAATTCGCTGTTTTGTGATGGGACTATATTTGTGTTAATTGGCAGAAGAGCTGAATTACAGAAGTTGACTACCTTGTTATGAATGGCAATTTTGCTCTTGCATCTGTTTGATTTGGAATATTAGCCTTACACCTGTAAGGTTTCTGATCCAACCCAGATCTGAAAAATTAAATACGAATGATTTTGAGTTAGTGATGGAGGGTTGCATTGTGTTTAGAGATTAAGAGATGGTAGGATTGCAATACATAGATCAGATACATATGTGAAAAATGTTCTTTTTTATCTACGATCCTTACAACAGCCAAGGTCATACGGAGATTGATACTGTGGAAAGTGTAGGTAGGCTCTGCATTGAAGTAAAACACATCAGACATGAGAATTGGTGTAGAACCCTTATAACTCAAACAGTAGCATTCTCGCATGATTCTACAAACACTAGATACAGAGATTAAATGATTGTTGTGAAGCTTGGTGATTGATTTACAGGAATAATGTAAGAAGTTACATATTTTCAAAATTACAATACCTAACTTGATTGCAGTAATTTGCGTAAAACACTTGTGGATTATTGAATACAAATACTTCACCCAGGGCAAAAATGCTTTTAAAGTACTCAGGGTTTGTGATGACTGGTAAGATCTGGCTTTGTGTTGGAGGAGAAATGCTACCCACATGTTATGTTATGGCAGGATTATCAAAGCCTCCAGCGGATCTGAGTAAGGTGTGTGGGTATCTTATACAGCCTCAGCAGCCACAAACACTTACAAAGGTTCTCCAGCCCTCTGTCTGCTATCACATCCACTTGCTGTTTATAACTGAAATTTGGAGATGAAATTAACAACAACTGTGGTATACCTATAAAGAACTGTTGTATCCTGTGAGCCTGGTGAAAGCTAGGAGGAGATATTTTAGTCGGGGTTCAGATTCGTGTAACTTTGCTATCACTAATCTTCAGCATGTTATTGCTACTCACTGTGAACTTACTGTTACTATGAATGACTTTGGCATAAAATACTTCTGTATTTAGAAAATTTCAAGTGATAAAACAGTAGAGAGTTGGACAAGGGGAGATAACAATATTTTAGGTCAGACACTCAAATCAAAACAACACATTTGTTAACTACATGCTATTATTTGTCTAGTTTTATTGCTTTTCATCATTTAAGATAAAATCTTATTGGATCTATTGTAAGTTGATCATCTTATTTGAATGTATTTACTCCAGATCTTGGTATTCCTGAACTACCGCTGGTCAGATCAAGGGGAGAAGGAAGTATAAGTCAGACACTAGAACATGTCAGGCAACAGTCTTTGTGTATATAGACCAGAGGTGTAGCCCTATGTTTTATATACACCCTATATAGATCACACACATCTAGTTAAATTTTTATTTTGACAACATGTGTACATATGCAGCATGCAACTCAACTTAATCATTCAATTATAATTACATTATCTAATATGATTAAAATTCTAATTTTGTATGATTGCAAGTTACATAAAACTCATATGTGACAGCTAGAGTGTTTTTAAGGTTTTCTTCTGAGTTTTGTCATGTCATGGTGAAGAAAACTATTCAGTGTTATGCAGAGGTTAGCGTATGAATGTGGGTTGTTTTGTGTGGTATATAGTGTACATGAGGATTGCGGTTTATTTTGTCCCGGAGAATGAGAATATTACACTTCCTTGTTACCCACGCCTTCGACGACCCCAGACATATGTATATAAAAATACAAATACCCAGGCACCACATTTCTTCCAATGAAACTCTGGAATCGGGACAAAAAAATATATTTTTATATAGAATAAAGTTCATACACCAGTGTAAACATTGCACGTGTCACATTTTAAAGTAAACAGCGTCCTTTAGCATAGCTCAAATTGAATAATTCAATAATAGTCAGGTCAATCTTAAATT